TTCTGTGATCTTCAAGGACCCTTCCAACCCAAACATTGTGCATTTCTATGGTTCTGTGATCTTCAAGGACCCTTCCAACCCCAACATTGTGCATTTCTATGGTGCTGTGATCTTCAAGGACCCTCCCAACTCAAACATTGTGCATTTCGATGGTGCTGTGATCTTCAAGGACCCTTCCAACCCACCAATTTTGCATTCCTATATTCTATGACCTGTAAGGACCCTTCCAACCCAACCGCCCTATGGTTCTATGGTCTTTACGGCCTCTTCCACCCCACAATCCATGCATGATTCTGCTTCCACAATCCTACAAATCCGCGACCCTACGATTCCACGATGCCACACTTCTGCGATCCCGTGATCCCACATTTCCATGATCCTACAGCTCCATCATCCCGTGGTCCTACAAATCCAGGATCCTACGGGTCTACCACCACAATTCTATCGTCCTATAATCACATTCTCCTAGGATTCCCCTACTGGGAATCCAGTGGTGGGACAGGGAAGGAGCTGGGGTGAGCAGAGGGCAAGCAGTGCATCCTGCCCCACTGGGAGCACACGGTGTGGGGCTGTGGGGCTGCTGGGAAGCAGGGCTGTGCCTGGGGCAGTGCAGGGCTCTGCAGCACTGCTGGGTCGCAGGCACCCCATACAACCCCACAGCAACCCCACGGACCCCCACACAACCTCTTGTATCCCATAAGTAATCCCATGGAAGCCCATGAACTCCATGGATTCCCCACACAACCCCATGCACCCTCCTGAAACCCTCACAATCCCACAGCACCCCCATGCGATCCCATACAACCCCATACAACCCCATACAACCCCTTACAACCCCATACAACCCCATACAACCCCATACAACCCCTTACAACTCCATGCAACCCCTTACAACCCCTTACAACCCCATACAACCCCATGCAACCCCTTACAACCCCTTACAACCCCTTACAACCCCTTACAACCCCATACAACCCCATACAACCCCATACAACCCCTTACAACCCCATGCAACCCCATACAACTCCATACAACCCCTTACAACACCATACAACCCCTTACAACTCCATGAAACCCCATACAACCACATACAACCCCTTACAACCCCATACAACACCATACAACCCCATACAACCCCTTACAACCCCATACAACCCCATACAACCCCTTACAACCCCATTCAACCCCATGCAAACCCATGCAACCCCTTACAACCTCTTACAACCCCATGCAACCCCATGCAAACCCATGCAACCCGATACAACACCATGCAACCCCATGCAACTCCATACAACCCCTTACAACCCCATGCAACCCCATTCAACCCTATTCAACGCAGTGCACTCCATGCAACCCCATACAACCCCATGCAACCGCATACAACCCTTTACAACCCCATACAACCCTATGCCACCCCTTACAACCCCATACAACCCCATGCAACCCCTTACAACCCCATGCAACCCCATGTAACACCATGCAATCCCATACAACCCCATGCAACCCTATACAACCCCATTCAACCCCATGCAACCCCATGCAACCCCATGCAACTCCATACAACCCCATGCAACCACATACAACCCTTTACAACCCCATACAACCCTATGCCACCCCTTACAACCCCATACAACCCCATGCAACCCCATGCAAACCTCTTGCAACCCCTCCCAGCTCCATGCGACCCCTTGTATCTTGTGTACTCCATGCAACCCCATGCAAATCCGTGCAACCCCATGCAATCCCATGCAAATCCATGCACTTTGTGCACCTCCATGCAACCCCACATATCTCATGCACTTCATGCAACTGCATGCAGCTCCACACACCCCCATGCAACTCCACGCAACCCCACACAGTCCCACGCAACTCATACACTCCATGTAACCCCATGCAACCCCACGCATTCCATGCGACTCTATGCAACCCCATGCAACCCCCTGCACCTCATTTACTCCAGGTAATCCCATGCAAATCCATGCAATCACATGGACTCTATGCAACCCCCATGCAACTTCACGCACCTCCTGCATTCCATGCAACCCCATGCAACCCCCTGCACTTCATGTACTCCAAGCACTCCCATGCAAATCCATGCAACCCCACACGACTGCTTGCAACCCCATGCACTTCATGTACACCATGCAAACCCATGTAACCCCCTGCAACCCCATGCACCTCACGTACCTCCACGCAACCCCATGCACCTCATGCACCCCATGCAACTTCATGCAGTTCCACACAACCCCATGCAACTGCACACAACCTCATGCATCTCCACACAACTTCATGCAAGTCCAAGCAACCCCATGCAACTTCATGCAACTCCATGCAACTCCACACAACCCCATGTAACTCATGCACTCCATGCAGCCCCATGCATCTCCATGCAAACCCATGCACCTGGTGCATCTCCATGCAACTTTATGCAAATCCATGCAACCCCTTGCACTTCACTTACTCCACGCAATCCCATGCAAATCCATGCAGCCCCATGCACTCCATGCAACCCCACACAACTCCATACAGTCCCATGCACTTTATGCAACCCCATGCAAATCCACGTAACCCCATGCAACTTCATGCACCTCCTGCACCCCATGCAACCCCACGCAACTGCATACAACACCATGCATCCCCACGCACCTCCATGCAACCTCATGTATCTCATGCACTCCATGCAACCCCACACAACTCTGTGCAACTCCACACACCTCCTGCTCTCCATGCAACCTCAGGCAACTCCATGCAACTTCATGCAACCCCATGCACCTCCATGCAACCCCACATATCTCATGCACCCCATGCAACTTCAAGCAGCTCCGTACAACCCCATGCAACTCCACACAACCTCATTCAACTCATACACTCCATGCAACCCCATGCAACCCCATAAAACCCCTTACAACCCCATAAAACCCCATGCAACCCCATGCAACCTCATTCAACCCCATGCAACCCCATTCAACCCCATGCACTCCATACAACCCCATGCAACCCCATGCAACCCCATGCAACCCCACACAACTTCATGCAACCCCATGCACCTTATGTGCTCATGCAAATCCATGTAACCCCACACAACCCCATGCAACCCATGCAACCCCATGCAACCCCATACAACCTCATGCAACCCCATGCACCTCCATGCAGCCCCACGTATCTCACGCACCCCATGCAACTTCATGCAGCTCCACACAACCCCATGCAACTCATGCACTCCATGCAGCCCCATGCATCTCCATGCAACTTCATGCAACTCCGTGCAATGCATTCCATGCCACTCTATGCAAATCCATGCAACCCCCACACTTCATACAAATCCATGCAACCCCATGCAGTCCCATGCAACCCCACACACTTCATGCACTCCATGCAACCCCACACAACTCCACACAACCCCATGCACCTCATGCATTCCATGCAACCCCCTGCAACCCCACGCAACTGCATGCAACCCTGTGCAAACCCACGCAACTCCACGCAACCCCATGCACCTCATGCATTCCATGCAACCCCATGCAAACCCACTCAACTGCATGCACTCAATGCAACCCCATGCACTCCATGCAAACCCATGTAACCCAACACATCCCCCATGCACCCCATGCACCCCATGCACCCCTACGCACTCCATGCAACCCCATGCACCTCCATTCTACCTCACGCATCTCATGCACTCCGCGCAACCTCCATGCAACCCCTCACACTTCATGCCCTCCATGCAACCCCGTGCACCCTGTGCAATCCCATGCACCTGATGCATTCCATGCAGCCTCATTCACTTCCATGCAAGCAACCCCACGTATTTCATGCACTCCATGCAATCCCAATCTCATCTTGCCCGTGTTTGGGTTGGGGAGGAAGTGGGGGGGATGGGGGGGGAGGGGGTAGAAGCAATTACTTCTCCTACACAAAATGCATCGAGAATCCCAAGACCCCCCCCACGTCACCAACCCTGGCCCCATTTATTGCAGTGCTCCCACCTACATCATAATACATCTTTTTTTTTGGGGGGGGGGGGAGGGGGAAGTTGCAGGCTGAAAAGATTATGGAGGCATTTTAAAAGCAGCGATCTGCTTTGGGGTGGGGTTGGGGGGGAGCAGGAGGTGATGGTTTGCCCTTTAGCACTGGAGAGAGGGAGCTTTGGGGACCCCTAGGATGGGGGGGTCAGACACCCCCATGTAAAAGCAGCATAGCAAGGGGGGGGGTCGTTCTTTCCCAAAAGCCTTTTATGGAAAGGAGGGGGCATAAAATAGGGAGGGGGCATAAAATGGGGCGGTGTTTTGCCAGCCTTATAGTGGTTGGAATAGGGGACCCCTTCCACAACCCCTATGTGGGGGCACAGTTTGGGGACCCCCTCCCAAAGCCCCTCTGAGAGCACGATTTTGGGGGTGGAGGGGGATATTTCCCTTAACCCCCACAGAAGGCATAATGGGGGGGTTGGGGGGGGAGTTCCATCACCCAGCCCTTATGCTGGGGGGGGGAAAATGGGGGGGCCTTTCCCAAAAGCCTTCTGGAGGGGTCAGATGGGGGTGGATCCCTTCCTCCAGCTCCTATAGGGATACATGTTGCCCCATGGGGGGGATGGGGGTGACGGGGGGTGGCGACAAGATGTGAATTCCCCGCCCCCCCGCCTTATAGGAAGCGTTAATTTCCCCTCCCCCTTCTCTGTCGCTTCCACCGCGCGTCTGGCGCGGGATGATGACGTCAGAAGAAAGCGGGCGTGTCTTGTAATGGCTCCGCCCCTCCGCGCGCGGCGCCTGGACACGTGGGAGCCGCGCGCCGCTTTGCCGACGTGTCCCTGGCACCGGGTGCCCCGGAAGTCCCGCCCTCCACCAGTGGGCGGGGCGTCAGCCTAAGGGGCGGGGATTCTCGTGACGTCACCAAGCACAGCCAGTAGGGGCGGGGCGAGCGGCGGATCCGCTCTTCTATTGGCCGACGGCGAGGCGAGGGGCGGGAGATCGGCGCTGACCACTCCCCCTTTTCCCGCCCTCCGCTCCGCCCCGCCCCGCTGTCCCTTCCGCGCTCCGGCCCCGCTCGGCCCCGTGAGCGTTATGGCTTCGGTGGCGAACCCCGGGCAGGGCGGCTCCGCGCCGCCCCTGGCTGTACAACGCGGTATCGTTAAGATGGTAAGGACTGCGAGCCGGGAACGGCAGGTGGAGCACCGGGAAGGGCAGCGTTCCGGGGTTATGGCAAGCGGAGGGGTCCCGTGCTCACCGGACCGCATGGGGACACGTGGGGGGGGGGGCTCGTGGTGTGGGGCTGCCTGGCTGTGTTGCGACACGGGGGTGGTGGTCCCAGAGCGCTGGGAAACGTGGCCGCCCTATGGCACGGTGGCCCCGTGACACTGGGGCATGCGGTGGCCCCATGGCATGGGGACACGTGGTGGTCTCATGGCATGGGGTTGCATGGCTGACTTATGACACAGTGGTGGTTGCCCCATGGCACTGGGATGCATGGTGGCCCTATAGGATGATGGTGGTGGCACTGTGGCACGGGGACATGTGGTGGCCCTGTGCCAGGTTGGTGGTGGCCCCATGGCATGGGGATGCATGGCGTCTCTATGGCTTGATTGTGGTGGCCCCATGGCACAGCGATGTGCGGTGGCCCCATGGCATGGGGACATGTGGTGGCCCCATGCCACGTTGGTGGTGGCCCCATTGCACAGGGATGCGTGGTGGCCCCATGACATTGGGATACGTGTTGGTCTCATGGCATGGGGTTGCATGGCTGACTTATGACACAGTGGTGGTTGCCCCATGGCACTGGGACGCATGGTGGCCCTATAGGATGATGGTGGTGGCACTGTGGCATGGGGACATTTGGTGGCCCCATAACATGATGGTGGTGGCCCCATGGCATGGGGACACGTGGTGGCCCTGTGTCATGTTGTTGGTGGCCCCATGGCACAGGGGTTGCCATGTGATACAGTGGTGGTGGCTCCATGATACTGTGATATGTGGTGACCCCATGGCATGGGGACACGTGGTGGTTTCATGGCATGGGGTTGCATGATGGCCTCATAGTACGATGGTGGTGGCCCCGTGACACTGGGACACATGGTGGCCCCATGGCATGGGGATACGTGTTGGTCTCATGGCATGGGGTTGCATGGTTGACTGATGACACAGTAGTGGTTGCCCCATGGTATGGGGTTGCATGGTGGCCCTACAGTATGATGGTGGTAGCATTGTAGCATGGGGACATTTGGTGGCCCCATAACATGATGGTGGGGGCCCCATGGCATGGGGACACGTGGTGGCCCCGTGTTATGTTGGTGGTGGCCCCATGGCACAGGGGTTGCCATGTGATACAATGGTGGTGGCCCCATGACACTGTGATATGTGGTGACCCCATGGCATGGGGACACGTGGTGGTGGTTTCATGGCATGGGGTTGCATGGTGGCCTCATAGTACGATGGTGGTGGCCCTGTGACACTGGGACACATGGTGGCCCCATGGCATGGGGATACGTGTTGGTCTCATGGCATGGGGTTGCATGGTTGACTGATGACACAGTAGTGGTTGCCCCATGGTATGGGGTTGCATGGTGGCCCTACAGTATGATGGTGGTAGCATTGTAGCATGGGGACACGTGGTGGCCCCTAACATGATGGTGGTGGCCCCATGGCATGGGGACACGTGGTGGCCCCGTGTTATGTTGGTGGTGGCCCCATGGCACAGGGGTTGCCATGTGATACAATGGTGGTGGCCCCATGACACTGTGATATGTGGTGACCCCATGGCATGGGGACACGTGGTGGTTTCATGGCATGGGGTTGCATGGTGGCCTCATAGTACGATGGTGGTGGCCCTGTGACACTGGGACACATTGTGGCCCCATGACATTGGGATATGTGTTGGTCTCATGGCATGGGGTTGCATGGCTGACTTATGACCCAGTGGTGGTTGCCCCATGGCACTGGGACGCATGGTGGCCCTATAGGATGATGGTGGTGGCACTGTGGCATGGGGACATTTGGTGACTCCATAACATGATGGTGGTGGCCCCATGGCATGGGGACACGTGGTGGCCTTGTGTCATGTTGGTGGTGGCCCCATGGCACAGCGATGTGTGGTGGCCCTATGGCATGGGGACATGTGGTGGCCCCATGCCATGTTGGTGGTGGCCCCATTGCACAGGGATGCGTGGTGGCCCTGTGACACTGGGATACGTGGTGGGCCCGTGGCATGGGGACACATGGTGGCCTGATGGCATTGGGATACGTGGTGGCCCCATGGCATGGGGTTGCATGGTTGACTTATGACCCAGTGGTGGTTGCCCCATGGCACTGGGACGCATGGTGGCCCTATAGGATGATGGTGGTGGCACTGTGGCATGGGGACAGGTGGTGGCCCCATAACATGATGGTGGTGACCCCATGGCATGGGGATACATGGTGGCCTCACAGCATGTTGGTGGTGACCCCATGTCATGGGGACATGTGGTGGCCTCATAGCATGTTGGTGGTGATCCCATGTCATGGGGACATGTGGTGGCCTTGTGTCATGTTGGTGGTGGCCCCAAGGCATGGGGACACATGGTGGCCTTGTGTCATGTTGGTGGTGGCCCCATGGCGTGGGGACACATGGTGGCCCTGTGCCATGCTGGTGGTGGCCCCATGGCATGGGGACACGTGGTGGCCCCACGCCGTGTTGGTGGTGGCCCCATGATATGGTGATGCGTGGTGGCCCCATGGCTTGGTGGTGGTGGCCCCATAGCATGGGGACGCGGTCATGGCGGCCCCAAAAAGGAGTGTATGGTCATCCTATGGCATGGGGGTGGTGGCCCCATGGCATGGGAACATGGGGACACGTGGTGGCCCTGTGGCACGGGGCTGATGCCTGCATGGCTGCAGGGATCTATGGGGGCCCTACGGGATGTGTGGTGGCCCCATGGCGTGTTGGTGGTGGCCCCAAGGCCTGGGGACATGTGGTGGCCTGTAGGGTTGGTGGCTTCGTAAATGGGGACTCTTGGTGGCCCTACAAACACGCAGGCACGGGAATGGGCACAGGGGTGGCGGTGACCCCATGCCGTGGGTCCTCTGTGGCCGTGGGGATGTGTGGTGACCCCATACCGTGGGGCCACCACCGTTGTGCTATGGGGCCACCACGTGTCCCCTCCTCTCCACCCCCTGTCCCTTTGGGGTCTTTCCTGCTCCCTGGGGTCCCTTAGTGCCACCGGAAGGCTCTGCTAATGAGCTCCTGTTGCTAATTGGCTCCAACAGCCTCCTCCCCGTCTGACTCCGCTGCTTTATAAATTAAAGACTGAGGTTAATTAACAGCGAGGAATCCTTGGAGTCCTTAAGGACTGAGCTCTGCAGCGCCCTGGGCTGCAGGCGTTGTGTCCCACTGGGTGCGTGGGGCGATGGGACACCGCTGTGGGGTTGGGGGGCGGCGGGGGACGACCCCATGGGTTCTGTGTGGGTCTGGGGTCCCCCCTTGGCATTTGGGGGGGTCTTCTCCATTCTGTGCTCTGGGGGGGGTTTGCAGTGGGAGGTGGGGGGCTGGAAGTGCAAGAATGGAGATGCGTGGGCATCGCCCCATGTGCAGCAGGGCTGGATGGGGAAAGGGAGGGAAGGAGGGACAGGGGGGTGAAGGGAAGGGAGAGGAAAGGAGAGGAAGGGAGAGGAGAGGAGAGGAGAGGAGAGGAGAGGAGAGGAGAGGAGAGGAGAGGAGAGGAGAGGAGAGGAGAGGAGAGGAGAGGAGAGGAGAGGAGAGGAGAGGAGAGGAGAGGAGAGGAGAGGAGAGGAAGGGAGAGGAAGGGAGAGGAAGGGAGAAAGGGGAGGAGAGGAGAGGAGAAAGGGAGAGGAGAGGAGGGGAGGGGAGAGGAGGGGAGAGGAGGAAGGGAGAGGAGAGGAGAGGAGGGGAAAGGGGAAAGGGAAGGAGAGGAGAGGAAAAAGGAGAGGAGGGGAGGGGAGAGGAGAGGGGAAAGGGAAGGAGAGGAGAGGAAAAAGGAGAGGAGAGGAGAAAGGGAAGGAGAGGAGGGGAGGAGAGGAGAGGAGGGGAGAGGAGAGGAGGGGAGAGGAGAAAGGGAAGGAGAAGAGAAAGGAGGGGAGGGGAGAGGGGAGGGGAGGAGAGGAGAGGAAGGGAAGGGAGAGGAGAGGAAGGGAAGGGAGAGGAGAGGAAAAAGGAGAGGAAGGGAGAGGAAGGGAGAAAAGGGAGGAGAGGAGAGGAGAAAGGGAAGGAGAGGAGAAAGGGAAGGAGAGGAGAGGAGAAAGGGAAGGAGAGGAGAGGAGAAAGGGAAGGAGAGGAGAAAGGGATGGAGAGGAAAGGAAGAGAGAGGAAGGGAGAAAGGGGAGGAGAGGAGAGGAGGGGAGGGGAGAGGAGGGGAGAGGAGGGGAAAGGGGAAAGGGAAGGAGAGGAGAGGAAAAAGGAGAGGAGAGAGGAGGGGAGGGGAGAGGAGAGGGGAAAGGGAAGGAGAGGAGAGGAAAAGGAGAGAAGAGAAAAAAGGAGAGGAGAGGAGAAAGGAGAGGAGAGGGGAGAGGAGGGGAGGGGAGGGGAGAGGAGGAGAGAGGAGGGGAGAGGGGAAAGGGAAGGAGAGGAGAGGAAAAAGGAGAGGAGAGGAGAAAGGGAAGGAGAGGAGGGGAGAGGAGAAAGGGAAGGAGAAGAGAGAGGAGAGGAGAGGAGAGGAGAGGAGAGGAGAGGAGAGGAGAGGAGAGGAGAGGAGAGGAGAGGAGAGGAGAGGAGAGGAGAGGAGAGGAGAGGAGAGGAGAGGAGGGGAGAGGAGGGGAGAAAGGAGAGGAGAGGAGAGGAGAAAGGAAAGGAGAGGAGAGGAGAAAGGAAAGGAGAGGAGAGGAGAGGAGAGGAGAAAGGAAAGGAGAGGAGAGGAGAGGAGAGGAGAAAGGGAAGGAGAGGAGAGGAGAGGAGAGGAAGGGAGAGGAAGGGAGAAAGGGGAGGAGAGGAGAGGAGAAAGGGAAGGAGAGGAGAGGAGGGGAGAGGAAGGGAGAGGAAGGGAGAAAGGGGAGGAGAGGAGAAGAGAAAGGGAAGGAGAGGAGAGGAGAGGAGAAGAGCAAGGGAAGGAGAGGAGAGGAAGGGAGAAAGGGGAGGAGAGGAGAGGAGAAAGGGAAGGAGAGGAGAAAGGGATGGAGAGGAGAGGAAGGGAGAGGAAGGGAGAAAGGGGAGGAGAGGAGAGGAGAAAGGGAAGGAGAGGAGAGGAGGGGAGAGGAGAGGAGAGGAGAGGGTGTTGCTGCAGGTGCTTGCTGCTTGCTCCACGCTTAGGGCCGCTGTCCCTTGCAGGTGCTCTCGGGCTGTGCCATCATCGTGCGGGGGCAGCCCCGTGGAGGACCCCCTCCCGAACGTCAGATCAACCTCAGCAACATCCGTGCAGGCAGCCTGGCACGCCGCGCCGCCGCCGGGCAGCCCGATGCCAGGGATACCCCGGATGAGGTGAGTTCCACTGCCCGTGTTTCTGTGCTCGGTGTCCCTTCTGAGGACCTGGGGGGGTAGGGGGCAAGGAGTGCCTTTTTGGAGACCCTGGGGACCCCCACTGGGGGATCCTGGGGACCTTGGGGATGTGGTGTCTCCCCAGGGGACCTTGGGGGCCCAGTGCCTTTTCGGAGACCCTGGGGACCCCAGTGGGGGACCCTGGAGACCCCCGGGGACCTTGGGGATGTGGTGACTTCTGGGGGACTTTGGAGAACTGGGGGGGATTGTGGTGTCTCTCAGGGATTATGGTGTCTCCCCAGGGGACCTTGGGGGCCCAGTGCCTCCTTGGGGACCTTGGGGACACTGGGGACTCCCACTGGGAAACCTTGGAGGCCCTGGGGACCTTGGGGATGTGGTGGCTTTTGGGGGACTTTGGAGAGCTGGGCTGGGGACTGTGGTGTCCCTGGGGAATGCTGGGGATGTGGTGTCTCCCCAGGGGACCTTGGGGTCCCAGAGCCTTTTTGGAGACCCTGGGGACCCCAGTGGGGGACCCTGGGCACCCCATGGGGATGTGGTTGTTTCTGGGGGACTTTGGAGAGCTGGTAGGGACTGTGGTGTCTCTCAGGGATTATGGTGTCTCCCCAGGGGACCTTGGGGTCCCAGTGCCTTTTTGGGGACCTTGGGGACACTGGGGACTCCCTCTGGGGAGCCTTGGAAGCGCTGGGGACCTTGGGGATGTGGTTGTTTCTGGAGGCCTTTGGAGAGCTGGGCTGGGGACCATGGTGTCCCTTGGGAATGCTGGGGATGTGGCATCTCCCCAGGGGACCGTGGGGTCCCAGTGCCTTTTTGGGGACCCTGGGGACCCCCAGTGGGGGATCCTGGGGACCTTGGGGATGTGGTTGTTTCTGGGGGACTTTGGAGAGCTGGGAGGGACTGTGGTGTCTCTCAGGGATTATGGGGTCTCCCCAGGGGACCTTGGGGTCCCAGTGCCTTTTTGGGGACCCTGGGGACTCCCACTGGGGTGCCTTGGAGGCCCTGGGGACCTTGGGGATGTGGTGGCTTCTGGGGGACTTTGGAGAGCTGGGCTGGGGACCATGGTGTCCCTTGGGAATGCTGGGGATGTGGTGTCTCCCCAGGGGACGTTGGGGTCCCAGTGCCTTTTTGGAGACCCTGGGGACCCCAGTGGGGGACCCTGGGCACCCCATGGGGATGTGGTTGTTTCTGGGGGACTTTGGAGAGCTGATAGGGACTGTGGTGTCTCTCAGGGATTATGGGGTCTCCCTATGGGACCTTGTGGACCCTGTGCCTCCTTGGGGACCCTGGGGACCCTGGGGACTCCCACTGGGAAACCTTGGAGGCCCTGGGGACCTTGGGGATGTGGTGGCTTTTGGGGGACTTTGGAGAGCTGGGAGGGAGCATGGTGTCCCTCTGGGAATGCTGGGGATGTGGTGTCTCCCCAGGGAACCTTGGGGTCACAGTGCTTTCCTGGGGACCTTGGGGACCCTGGGGACTTCACTGGGGAACTTTGGGGACCAAGGGTGCCTTAGGGGGGAACCTTGGGGATGTGGTGGTTTCTGGGGTCTTTGGAGAGCTGGGCTGGGGACCGTGGTGTCCAGTGGGATTGTTGGGGATGTGGTGTCTCGCCAGGGGACCTTGGGGTCCCAGTGCTTTTTGGAGACCCTGGGGACCCCCAGTGGGGACCCTGGGCACCCCATGGGGATGTGGTTGTTTCTGGGGGACTTTGGAGAGCTGATAGGGACTGTGGTGTCTCTCAGGGATTATGGGGTCTCCCTATGGGACCTTGTGGACCCTGTGCCTCCTTGGAGACCCTGGGGACCCTGGGGACTCCCACTGGGAAACCTTGGAGGCCCTGGGGACCTTGGGGATGTGGTGGCTTTTGGGGGACTTTGGAGAGCTGGGCTGGGGACCGTGGTGTCCCTTGGGAATGTTGGGGATGTGGTGTCTCCCCAGGGACATTGTGGTCCCCTTCCTGGGGACCTTGGGGACCCTGGGGACTCCCACTGGGGGACCCTGGGGACCTTGGGCACTCAGTGCCTTCAGGAGGGACCCCACTGCGGGTTACGGTGCCTCTGGGGGAACTTTGGATGCCCTGTGACCTTGGGGTTGCTCCCTTGGGGACCTTGGGGGCGCGATGTCCCTTTGGGGTTTGCTTATTTGGGGGTGCAGGCTTGGGAAAAGAGCAGTGCTGCTTTTTTGGGGTGCTGCCCGTGGCCCCGGCTTGACGCGGCGGATTCGGGAGCAGCCTTTTGGGATGGCAGAGCTGAGCTTGGGGCCACCCATCCTCCCAGCCCCGGGGGTGGCGAGGAGCGCGCAGTTAATTGCTCTCCCTGGGGAGTTTGTCTTCTGAGCCGTTAAATGTCACTCTTTGGAGACATTATTCCTGTCAGGTTTTTTTGCTAATTGTTTATTAGCACGTCATGTTCTCTCCTCTGGACCCACTTTCTCTCCACCCACCTAAGTGAGGTGGAGCGAAGCTCAGTTTTGTCCCGGCGCTGCTCCAGGCTCCGGAGAGGGGAATGTGGGGTGGGGAAATGGGGGATGTGGGGTGGGGAAATGGGGGATGTGGGGTGGGGAAATGGGGGATGGGGGGGATGTGGGGTGGGGAAATGGGGATGGGGGGATGTGGGGTGGGGAAATGGGGATGTGGGGTGGGGAAGTGGGGGATGTGGGGTGGGGAAATGGGGAAATGGGGGATGTGGCGTGGGGAAATGGGGATGCGGGGTGGGGAAATGGGGGATGTGGGGTGGGGAAATGGGGATGGGGGGGATGTGGGGTGGGGAAATGGGGATGTGGGGTGGGGAAATGGGGGATGTGGGGTGGGGAAATGGGGAAATGGGGGATGTGGCGTGGAGAAATGGGGATGTGGGGATGTGGGGTGGGGAAATGGGGATGTGGGGTGGGGAAATGGGGGATGTGGGGTGGGGAAATGGGGATGGGGGGGATGTGGGGTGGGGAAATGGGGATGTGGGGTGGGGAAATGGGGGATGTGGGGTGGGGAAATGGGGAAATGGGGGATGTGGCGTGGAGAAATGGGGATGTGGGGATGTGGGGTGGGGAAATGGGGATGTGGGGTGGGGAAATGGGGGATGTGGGGTGGGGAAATGGGGATGGGGGGGATGTGGGGTGGGGAAATGGGGATGCGGGGTGGGGAAATGGGGGATGGGGGGATGTGGGGACTTGGGGATGTGAGGATACAGGGTGGGGAAATGGGGATGGGAAATGGGAACGTGGGGGTGGGAAATGCGGATATGGGGATGTGGGGTGGGAATTAGGGGATGTAGGGATGGGAAGTGGGGATATGGGGATATGGGGTGGGGATTTGGGGATATGGGGATGTGGGGTGGGGAAACAGGGATGTGAGGATGGGAAATGGGGATGTGGGGTGGGGAAATGGGAATGTGGGGATGTGGGGATGTGGGGTGGGGACTTGGGGGCAAGTGGATACGGGGTGGGGAAATGGGGATGGGAAATGGGTATATGGGGTGGAGATTTGGGGATATGGGGATGTGGGTGGGAATTTGGGGATGTAGGGATGGGAAATGGGGATGTGGGGACGGGAAATAGGGAAATGGGGGGATGTGGGGTGGGGACTTGGGGATGTGAGGATGGTAAATGGGGACAGGAAATGGGGATGTGGGGTGGGGAAATGGGGTAATGGGGAATGTGGGGTGGGGAAATGAGGATGTGGGGATGTGGGGACGTGGGGTGAGGACTTGGGGATGTGGGGAAATGGGGACGTGGGGATGGGAAATGCGGATATGGAGATGTGGGGTGGGGATTTGGGGACGTGGGGATGTGAGGATAGAGTGGGATGCAGGGTCAGGATGGAGGGATGGACATGGGAAGGACATGGGGATGAGAAGTGGGGCTGTGGGGTGGGGATATGGGTATGGGGTGGGATGCAGGGTCAGGATGGAGCCATGGGGACATGGGCATGGGATGGGAATGTGGGGATGTAGGGTGGGATGGAGGGTCAGGATGGGAACATGGGGACATGGGAATGGGATGGGGATGTGGGGATGCAGGGTGGGATGGAGGGTCAGGATGGGAACATGGGAATGGGATGGGAATGGGGATGTGGGGATACAGGGTGGGATGGGGACATGGGAATAGGATGGGGATGTGGGGATGCGGGGTGAGATTCAGGGTCAGGATGGAGCCTTGGGGATGTGGGAATGAGATGGGGATGTGGGGATGCAGGGTGGGATGGAGGGTCAGGATGGGGACATGGGGACATGGGAATGGGATGGGGATGTGGGGATGCAGGGTGGGATGGAGGGTCAGGATGGGGACATGGGGACATGGGAATGGGATGGGGATGTGGGGATGCAGGGTGGGATGGAGGGTCAGGATGGGGACATGGGGACATGGGAATGGGGACATGGGGACGGGTTGGGATGAGGGGTCAGGATGTAGGGCTGGGGATGTGGGGATGGGGTGGGGACGTGGGGATGGTATGGAGATATGGGGATGGGGTGGGATGCCGGGTCAGGGTGGAGGAATGGGGACGTGGGGATGGGGATAGGGTGGATGTAAGGTCAGGATGGAGGGATGGGGATAGGATGGAGACGTGGCAGCCCCATACTTTCACCCCAGAGCTGCCAAGTGACAACCTTCTGCTTTCCTTCCAGCCCTGGGGTTTCCCGGCCCGTGAATTCCTGCGGAAGAAGCTGATTGGGAAGGAGGTGTGCTTCACTGTGGAGTACAAGACCCCCCAGGGCAGGGAATATGGCATGGTGTACCTGGGCAGAGGTGAGCGTGCGGTGGGATGCGTGGATCTGCATTTGGGGTTCCTCCTCCTCACCTTTTCGGTGCGTTTAACCCCAGCGTTTGCTTTGGGTTTGATCCTGACTCTCACCAGAGCTCTGTGTCTCTCTGCACGTTGGTGCAGTGCTCCCCTGGGGGTGTGGGGTCGCAGAATGGTTGGGTTGGGGCGTGGGATTGAGGCATGGCTTGGGTTGGAAAGGACCTTGCAGATCATAGAGACTTAAAATAGTTGGGTTGGGTCAGAAGGGATCTTATAGATGGACCTCATGGATTGCAGAGGCAGAGCACGGGTTGCATTGGAAGGGACCTCGTAGATCATGGAGCCATAGAGTAGTTGAGTTGGGTTGGGTTGGAGGGGTCCTTATGGATCACAAAGCCAGCAAACGGTTGGATTGGAAAGGATCTTATTGATCACGGAGCCATAGAGTGGTTGGGTTAGAAGGGACTGTGTGGATCACAGAGCTGTAGCTTGGTTGGATTGGAAGGGCCCACATGGATTGTGGAGCCATAGAGTGGTTGGGTTGGGTTGGAAGGGACCTCATGGATCACAAAGCCAGCAAATGGTTGGATTGGAAAGGATCTTATTGATCACGGAGCCATAGAATGGTTGGATTGGGTTGGAAGGGTCCTTATGGATCACAAAGCCAGCAAATGGTTGGATTGGAAAGGATCTTATTGATCACGGAGCCATAGAATGGTTGGATTGGGTTGGAAGGGTCCTTATGGATCACAAAGCCAGCAAATGGTCGGATTGGAAAGGATCTTATTGATCACGGAGCCATAGAATGGTTGGATTGGGTTGGAAGGGTCCTTATGGATCACAAAGCCAGCAAATGGTCGGATTGGAAAGGATCTTATTGATCACGGAGCCATAGAGTGGTTGGATTAGAAGGGACTGTGGATTGCAGAGCTGTGGAGTGGTTGGGTTGCGTTGGGTTGGGTTGGGTTGGAGGGGACCTTATAGATCATAGAGCCATGCAGTGGTTGGAATAGAAGGGATCTTATTGATCAGAGAGCCATGGAATGTTTGGATTGGGTTGGAAGGGACCTCGTAGATCATAGAGTCATCCAGTGGTTGGGTTGGAAAAGACTTCACAGACCCCAGAGCTGTAGAGTGGTTGGTTTGTAAGAGGCCTGGTGGATTACAGAGCCACAGAATGATTGGGTTGGATTGGAAGGGACCTCATGGATCACAGAGCAATAGAGTGGTTGGGGTGGAAGGGACTGGATGGATTACAGAGCCACCAAATGGTTGGCTTGGAAGGGATCTTACTGATCACAGAGCTGTAGCATGGTTGGATTGGGTTGGGAGGGACCTTAGGGATTGCAGAGCCAGAGCATGGGTTGGTTTGGGTTGGGAGGGACCTCATAGATGACAGAACCATAGAGTGGTTGGGTTAGAAGGGACTGTATGGATTGCAGAGCTGTAGAGTGGTTGGGTTGGGTTGGAAGGGATCTTGTAGATCATAGATCCTTAGAGCGGTTGGGTTGGAAGGGGCGTTAAGGATTGCAGAGCCACCAATTGGTTGGGTTGGAAGGGATTTTATCAGCCATGGAGCCATAGAATGATGGAGTTACATTGGAAGAGGCTTATGGATTACTGAGCCAGAGGATGGGTTGGTTTGGGTTGGAAGGGACCTTGTAGATCACAGCCACAGAGTTGTTGGTTTGGAAGGGGCGTTATGGATTGCAGAGCCATGTAGTGGTTGGGTTGGAAGGGATCTTATTGGTCATGGAATGGTTGGATTGGATTGGAAAGGATCTTGTAGATCACAGATCCATAGAATGGTTGGGTTGGAAGGGATCCTATTAGTCATGGAGCCATAGAGTGTTTGGGTTGCACAGGAAGGGAGATTCTGGGTTACAGAACCAGAGCATGGGTTGGATCGGGTTGGAAAGGTCCTCATAGATCATAGTCTCAGAATGGTTGGGTTGGAAAGGATAGATCCCAGATTCATAGATCCCAGATTCATAGATCCCAGAGCTGTAGAGCGGTTGGTTTGTAAGGGGCCTTGTGGATTGCAGAGCCACAGAGTGGTTGGGTTGGATTGGAAGGGGCCTCATGGATCACAGAACCAAGCAGTGATTGGGTTGGAAGGGATCTTATTGGTCATCGAGCCGTAGAACGGTCGGATTGGGTTGGAAGGGATCTTGTAGATCAGAGATGGATGGAGTGGTTGCATTGGAAGGGACGTTATTGCAGAGCCAGATTGTGGGTTGGGTTGGGTTAGAAGGGACTGTGTGGATCCCAGAGCCATAGTGGGTTTGGTTTGGAAGGGACCCCATAGATCGTAGAGCTGTGGGGTGGTTGGGTTGAAAGGGTCCTTGCAGATCACAGAGCCATAGAGTGATTGGGTTGGAAGGGACCTTGCAGATCACAGAGCCATACAGTGGTTGGGTTGGAAGGGTCCTTATAGATCACAAGTGTGGTTGTGTTGGAAGGGTCCTTACAGATCACAGAGCCATACAGTGGTTGGGTTGGAAAGATCCTTGCAGATCCCAGAGCTATAGAATTGGTCAGTTGGATTGGAAGGGTCCTTACAGATCACAGAGCCATAGAATTGGTCAGTTGGGTTGGAAGGGTCCTTACAGATCACAGGAGTGGTTGGATTGGAAGGGACCTTACAGATGACAGGAGTGGTTGAGTTGGAAGGGTCCTTACAGATCACAGAGCCATACAGTGGTTGGGTTGGTAGGGTCCTTACAGATCATAGAGCCATAGAATTGGTCATTTGGGTTGGAAGGGTCCTGACAGATCACAGAGCTATAGAGTTGTTGGGTTGGAAAGGTCCTTGCAGATCACAGAGCCATAGAATTGGTCATTTGGGATGGAAGGGACCTTACAGAACACAAGAGCAGTTGGGTTGGAAGGGTCCTTGCAGATCACAGAGCCGTAGAATTGGTCAGTTGGGTTGGAAGGTTCCTTGCAGATCACAGAGCCACAGAATTGGTCATTTGGGTTGGAAGGGTCCTTGCAGATCACAGAGCCATAGAGTGGTTGAGTTGGAAGGGTCCTCACAGATCACAGAGTCATAGAATTGGTCAGTTGGGTTGGAAGGGACCTTACAGAACACGAGTGGTTGGGTTGGAAGGGTCCTTGCAGATCACAGAGCCATAGAATTGGTCAGTTGGGCTGGAAGGGTCCTTACAGATCAAAGAGTCATAGAACTGGTCAGTTGAGTTGTAAGAGTCCTTGCAGATCCCAGAGCTACAGAATTGCTCAGTTGGGTTGGGAGGGACCTTACAGAACACAAGAGTGATTGGGTTGGAAGGGTCCTTACAGATCACAGAGCCATAGAATTGGTCAGTTGGGTTGGAAGGGTCCTTGCAGATGACAAGAGAGGTTGGGTTGGAAGGGTCCTTGCAGATCACAGAGCCACAGAATTGGTCATTTGCGTTGGAAGGGTCCTTGCAGATCACAGAGCCATAGAGTGGTTGAGTTGGAAGGGACCATCAAGCCCATGCAGCCCCAACCCCATACATCCATGGTGCTTCCAAGCACGGGGCTGGCAGAGCAGATTTCTCTGTGGGCAACGCTGAGGTGTGAGCACTTGGGTGTGGAAAATGCAGGAGGGCAGGGGTGGGCAGAGCTTGCTGGTCCTGCTCAGTGGTTCAGGTGGTGCTGAGCTGCCCCACAGCATCGCTTGTGGGTGGGAATGCATTTTGGAAAGGGTTTTGCTGCTCCATCGGTCTCCTCGCAGCCTTTGCAGCCTCCTCGTCTGCCACGTACAAGGTTTTCTGTGTAGGTGTCATCCTCATTGTTCCATCCCAGCCTGTCACGGCGCTGCGGGGAGAAACGAAGCAGAAAATGCTTCCTGATGAAGTTTGTCAGGGTTGGGAGTGCAATTAACGCGAAAGCGCTGCAGCAGCTTCACCACGCTCCTCCCCCGCTCCCCCCCCCCCCCCCCCAGCACCACAAAACCCTGGTGTTTTTTTGCCAAGGAAGGCTGTTGTTGTGTTTTGGGGATCCCCCAAACCCGCTTAGAGGACCCCCGAGGAGCTGAGGGATGTCGCCCATTGCCTGGGACACGGAGAGCCCCCTGTGCTGGGATGCTGTGGGATGCGTTCCTATGGAAGCAATGCGCCGTGCTGGGGCTCATACCACTGACAATTGCACCCCGAGATCAGTGGGGAGCCTTCTGCTCCAGCCTTTGTAAGGGGGCAGAGCATCCCCACGGCACCGTCGGCTCTGGGTGAGGAGGGTCAGAGCTTTCCCCTCGTCCTGCATGGCTGTGGGGTCGTGTTTGGGGGTAGCACAGCTGTCAGGCTCTGTGGGGTGGGCCTGGAGGGTCTGCACGGCCCGTTTTGTTGTCCCTAAGCTTATGGGGAGGGACAGGGAGCTCCCCGTGGGGCACTGGGGTGGTGTCACGCAGGTACCCACCCCCCTGCTGCTGAAATTGCCATGCTGAGGGGGGTGGGTGCTCGGGGAGCTTCCATAGCAGTGGGTGCAGAGCCTGGACTGCGCTCACACACCTCATCTCCTCGTGGTCAACCCATTCGTGGACGCGTTCCAGGGATGGAATGCACCTTTCCTTGCATGCTGACTGCTCTCCTCTCCTCTCCCTGCAGACACGAGTGGTGAGAACATCGCCGAGTCGCTGGTGGCGGAGGGGCTGGCATCGCGCCGGGAGGGGATCCGCGCCAACAAGTACGTATGAACCCAGCTTGGTGATGGGGGGGGGCTGTGGGTACCCCGTCCGTGGAGGTGCCTGAGGCTGTGGGTTGGGTTCTGGGCAGCCTGAGGATGTGGGGGGCACCCAGCCCATGGTGGGGGAGAGGTAGGGGGGGTCCTTTGGCAACACAAACCATGGTGGGGTTCCATAGTTCAGTGGTCAAGAAGGTCCTTTCCAACCCAGCCATTCTATGTCTCTGTTCTACAAGGTCCTTTCCAACCCAACCATTCTATGTCTCTGTTCTACAAGGTCCTTTCCAACCCAGCCATTCTATGTCTCTGTTCTACAAGGTCCTTTCCAACCCAGCCATTCCATGTCTCTGTGCTCTACAAGGTCCTTTCCAACCCAGCCATTCTATGTCTAAGTGCTCTACAAGGTCCTTTCCAACCCAACCATTCTATGTCTCTGTGCTCTACAAGGTCCTTTCCAACCCAACCATTCTATGTCTCTGTGCTCTACAAGGTCCTTTCCAACCCAGCCATTCTATGTCTCTGTGCTCTACAAGGTCCTTTCCAACCCAGCCATTCTATGTCTGTGTGCTCTACAAGGTCCTTTCCAACCCAGCCATTCTATGTCTCCGTGTTCTACAAGGTCCTTTCCAACCCAGCCATTCTATGTCTCTGTGCTCTACAAGGTCCTTTCCAACCCAGCCATTCTATGTCTCTGTGTTCTACAAGGTCCTTTCCAACCCAGCCATTCTATGTCTCTGTGCTCTACAAGGTCCTTTCCAACCCAGCCATTCTATGTCTCTGTGTTCTACAAGGTCCTTTCCAACCCAGCCATTCTATGTCTCTGTGCTCTACAAGGTCCTTTCCAACCCAGCCATTCTATGTCTGTGTGCTCTACAAGGTCCTTTCCAACCCAGCCATTCTATGTCTCTGTTCTACAAGGTCCTTTCCAACCCAGCCATTCTATGTCTGTGTGCTCTACAAGGTCCTTTCCAACCCAGCCATTCTATGTCTCCGTGTTCTACAAGGTCCTTTCCAACCCAACCATTCTATGTCTCTGTGCTCTACAAGGTCCTTTCCAACCCAGCCATTCTATGTCTCCGTGTTCTACAAGGTCCTTTCCAACCCAGCCATTCCATGTCTCTGTGCTCTACAAGATCCTTTCCAACCCAGCCATTCTATGTCTCCGTGTTCTACAAGGTCCTTTCCAACCCAGCCATTCCATGTCTCTGTGCTCTACAAGGTCCTTTCCAACCCAGCCATTCCATGTCTCTGTGTTCTACAAGGTTCTTTCCAACCCAACCATTCTATGTCTCTGTGCTCTACAAGATCCTTTCCAACCCAGCCATTCTATGTCTCTGTGCTCTACAAGGTCCTTTCCAACCCAGCCATTCTATGTCTCTGTGCTCTACAAGGTCCTTTCCAACCCAGCCATTCTATGTCTCTGTGCTCTACAAGGTCCTTTCCAACCCAGCCATTCTATGTCTCTGTGCTCTACAAGGTCCTTTCCAACCCAGCCATTCCATGTCTCTGTGCTCTACAAGGTCCTTTCCAACCCAGCCATTCTATGTCTCTGTGCTCTACAAGGTCCTTTCCAACCCAGCCATTCTATGTCTCTGTTCTACAAGGTCCTTTCCAACCCAGCCATTCTATGTCTCTGTGCTCTACAAGGTCCTTTCCAACCCAGCCATTCCATGTCTCTGTGCTCTACAAGGTCCTTTCCAACCCAACCATTCTATGTCTCTGTTCTACAAGGTCCTTTCCAACCCAGCCATTCTATGTCTCTGTGCTCTACAAGGTCCTTTCCAACCCAACCATTCTATGTCTCTGTTCTACAAGGTCCTTTCCAACCCAGCCATTCTATGTCTGTGTGCTCTACAAGGTCCTTTCCAACCCAGCCATTCCATGTCTCTGTGCTCTACAAGGTCCTTTCCAACCCAGCCATTCTATGTCTCTGTGCTCTACAAGGTCCTTTCCAACCCAGCCATTCTATGTCTCTGTGCTCTACAAGGTCCTTTCCAACCCAGCCATTCCATGTCTCTGTGCTCTACAAGGTCCTTTCCAACCCAACCATTCTATGTCTCTGTTCTACAAGGTCCTTTCCAACCCAGCCATTCTATGTCTCTGTGCTCTACAAGGTCCTTTCCAACCCAACCATTCTATGTCTCTGTTCTACAAGGTCCTTTCCAACCCAGCCATTCTATGTCTGTGTGCTCTACAAGGTCCTTTCCAACCCAGCCATTCCATGTCTCTGTGCTCTACAAGGTCCTTTCCAACCCAGCCATTCCATGTCTCTGTGCTCTACAAGGTCCTTTCCAACCCAGCCATTCTATCTCTCTGTGTTCTACAAGGTCCTTTCCAACCCAGCCATTCCATGTCTCTGTGCTCTACAAGGTCCTTTCTAACCCAGCCATTCCATGTCTCTGTGCTCTACAAGGTTCTTTCCAACCCAGCCATTCTATGTCTCTGTGCTCTACAAGGTCCTTTCTAACCCAGCCATTCTATGTCTCTGTGCTCTACAAGGTCCTTTCCAACCCAGCCATTCCATGTCTCTGTGCTCTACAAGGTCCTTTCCAACCCAGCCATTCTATGTCTCTATGCTCTACAAGGTCCTTTCCAACCCAGCCATTCTATGTCTCTGTTCTACAAGGTCCTTTCCAACCCAGCCATTCCATGTCTCTGTGCTCTACAAGATCCTTTCCAACCCAGCCATTCTATGTCTCTGTGCTCTACAAGGTCCTTTCCAACCCAGCCATTCTATGTCTCTGTGCTCTACAAGGTCCTTTCCAACCCAGCCATTCCATGTCTCTGTGCTCTACAAGGTCCTTTCTAACCCAGCCATTCTACGTCTCTGTGCTCTACAAGGTCCTTTCCAACCCAGCCATTCTATGTCTCTGTTCTACAAGATCCTTTCTAACCCAACCATTCTATGTCTCTGTGCTCTACAAGGTCCTTTCCAACCCAACCATTCTATGTCTCTGTGCTCTACAAGGTCCTTTCCAACCCAGCCATTCTATGTCTCTGTGCTCTACAAGGTCCTTTCTAACCCAGCCATTCTATGTCTCTGTGCTCTACAAGGTCCTTTCCAACCCAGCCGTTCTGTGATTCTCAGCTCTGTAATGCTTCTTCCAACTCAACCCAACCACTCTGTTGCTCTGTGTCCCATAAGGACCCTTCCAACCCAACCATTCTTTGATTCTGAGCTTTATAACGTTCCAACCCAGCCATTCTATATCCCTATGATCTATAAGGTCCTTTCCAACCCAACCATTCCGTGATTCTCAGCTCTGTAATGTCCCTTCCAACTCAACCCAACCACTCTGTGCTCTGTAATCTTAAAGGTCCCTTCCAACCCAACCACTCTGTGGCTCTGTGCTCCACAAGGTCTCTTCCAACCCAACCATTCTGTGTTGCTTAGCTTTATGATGTCTCTTCCAACCCAACCCAAAGCACTTCATGGCTCTGTGGTCCATAAGGTCCCTTCCAACCCAACCACTCTGTGGTTCTGAGCTTTCTAATGTTCCTTCCAACCCAACCCAGCCATTCTATATCCCTATGATCTATAAGGTCCTTTCCAACCCAACCATTCTACGATTCTCAGCTCTATAATGTCTCTTCCATCCCAGCCCAACCACTCTGTGGCTCTGTGTCCCGTAAGGTCCTTTCCAACCCAGCCATTCCGTGATTCTCAGCTCTGTAATGTCCCTTCCAACTCTACCCAACCACTCTGTGCTCTGTAATCTACAAGGTCTCATCCATCCCAACCATTCTATGCTTCTAAGTTCTATAAAGTCCCTTCCAACTCAACCCAACCACTCTGTGGCTCTGTGTCCCGTAAGATCCCTCCCAATCCAACCATTCTGTGGTTCTGAGCTTTCTAATGTTCCTTCCAACCCAACCCAGCCATTCTATATCCCTATGATCTATAAGGTCCTTTTCAACCCAGCCATTCTGTGATTCTCAGCTCTGTAATGTCCCTTCTAACCCAACCCAACAACTCTATAGCTCTGTGTCCCATAAGATCCCTTCCAACCCAACCATTCTATGGTTCTAAGCTCTGTAAGGTCCCTTTCAACCCATCCATTCTGTGATTCTCAGCTCTGTAATGTCCCTTCCAACTCAACCCAACCACTCTGTGCTCTGTAATCTTTAAGGTCCCTTCCATCCTAACCACTCTGTGGCTCTGTGCTCCACAAGGGCTCTTCCATCCCAGCCATTCTATGCTTCTAAGTTCTATAAAGTCCCTTCCATCCCAACCCAACCACTCTATGGCTCTGTGTCCCATAAGGTCCCTTCTAGCCCAACCATTCTGTGGTTCTAAGCTCTATAATGTGTCTTCCAACCCAACCCTAAGCATTCTATGGCTCTGTGATCCATAAGGTCCCTCCCAACACAACCACTCTGTGATTCTGAGCTTTATAATGTTCCTTCCAACCCAACCCAGCCATTCTATATCCCTATGATCTATAAGTTCGTTTGCTACCCAAGCATTCCATAATTCTCAGCTCTGTAATGTTTCTTCCAACTCAACCCAACCATTCTATGGCTCTGTGTCCCATGAGGATCCTTCCAACCCAACCATTCTATGCTTCTGAGTTCTATAAAGTCCCTTCCATCCCAACCCAACCACTCTATAGCTCTGTGTCCCATAACGTCCCTTTCAACCCAACCATTCCGTGATTCTCAGCTCTGTAATGCTTCTTCCAACTCAACCCAACCACTCTATAGCTCTGTGCTGTGCAAGGTCCCTTTCAACCCAACCATTTTGTGGTTCTAAGCTCTATAAGGTCTCTTCTGACCCAACCCAAAGCACTTTATGGGTCTGTGATCCATAAGATCCCTCCCAACACAACCACTCTGTGGTTCTGAGCTTTATAATGTTCCTCCCAACCCAACCCAACCCAGCCATTCTGTATCCTTATGATCTGTAAGGTCCTTTCCAACCCAACCATTCTGTGTATCTCAGCTCTGTAATGTTTCTTCCATCCCAACCCAACCACTCTATAGCTCTGTGTCGCATAAGGTCCCTTCCAACCCAACCATTCTATGGTTCTAAGCTCTGTAAGGTCCCTCCCAACCCATCCATTCCGTGATTCTCAGCTCTGTAATGTCCCTTCCATCCCAACCCAACCACTCTGTGGCTCTGCGTCCCATAAGGTCCCTTCCAGCCCAACCATTCTGTGGTTCTATGCTCTATAATGTCTCTTCTGACCCAACCCAATGCACTTTATGGCTCTGTGATCCATAAGGTCCCTCCCAACCCATCCATTCCGTGATTCTCAGCTCTGTAAAGTCCCTTCCATCTCAACCCAACCACTCTGTGGCTCTGCGTCCCATAAGGTCCCTTCCAACCCCACCATTCTGTGGTTCTGAGCTCTGCCATGTCCCTTCCAACCCAACCCAACCATTCTGTGTTTCAGTGATCCACGAGGTCCCTTCCAACCCTACCTGACCATTTTGTGATCCAGAGGGTCCCTCCCACCCAACCCCCCAACCATTCCCCAGCTCTGTGCTCTCTCTACACCATCCCACAGTGATGGCAGTGCTCGGGTGCTCCGTCCCCACGCCCCATTGCTCCATGCTGGGGGTGCAGGACTTGCCAACCCCCCCCTGCCTCCACATAACACCAGCACTGTAACGCATCCCCACGGAGCTCAGCACCCTGCAATTAAACATTGCCTGTAGCAACCTGCTGCTCTGCGTTTGCTCTCCTAATTGCAAGGCCGTGTTAATTACCAGCAGCTCCAGGAGGGCTCTGTGCAGGCAGGGGAGGGCTGCAGGCTGCCTGGAGGTGCTGGCTGAGCCCCACGTGTGCTGCTGCTCCCCACGTATTTAACACCAGGCCCCGTCTGGAGCCACTCAGTGTTCCTCAGCTTGCAGCTTTGCCCTCTTCGGAGGAGCTGAAGAAATCTGCGAGCAGAAATATCCCGAGGTTTTGTTTAATGGAGCGTAACAGCGCTTGGCAGCGCTCCGCTTCACCGCAGCCTTGCTCCCCGGGCTGCCAGCCTGCTCCCCAGACCTCACCACGCTCCCAGGCAGCCCTGAGCAGCATCCTTGGCTGGGATCCCTGCTGCCAACCCGCTGCTGCCCCTGCTGTCACCCTTCCCTTCGCTCCCTGCTGTCACCTCTTCCCATCTGCGGCGCACGGCAGGCGGTGCTCGCGTGGAGGTGGATTTTTGGTTGCTGCAGATTCCCCCTGTGTGCCCACCGGGCTCTGATGCGCGGCACGTCGCTGCTGGCAGCATCACCCATCCCTCACCTGGAGCTCTGGTTGCTGCAGCATCCGGAAAAGCACCTTGAGCAACGGATGCTCCGGCGGCGTCCTGCTTGGCGCTGAGCCGCTCTGTCCGCTTCCCTGCAGCTCCGAGCAGAGCCGGCTGGCAGAGCTGGAGGAGCAAGCCAAGAGTGCCAAGAAAGGGATGTGGAGCGAAGGCACGGGCTCACACACCATCCGTGACCTCAAATACACCATCGAGAACCCACGTCACTTTGTGGATTCCATGCACCAGAAGCCTGTCAACGGTGGGTGAGCCGGAGGGCAGCGCTGCGCTGCGTGTTGGCGAGCTGCAGGTTGCATGCAGCGCTGCTGGGATTGCCCTGCTTGGGGCCACGGGGTCGTAGGGGGGGGGAGGTGGGCCTGGCTCTTCACCCCCCCTCACCGTGGCACCAGCATGGATCTGTGGTCTCACTCTGCAGCCATCATTGAGCACGTGAGGGATGGCAGCGTGGTCAGAGCCCTCCTGCTGCCGGATTACTACCTGGTCACGGTCATGCTCTCGGGGATCAAGGTGAGGTTTGGCTGTTGGTGTGTTGGGCAGGGGGGTCCCTTCCCTCAGGTCTGGGGTGCCTCAAACAGGGCCCTAAGGTCTGGGGTGCCTCAAACAGGGCCCTGAGGTCTGGGATGCCTCAAACAGGTCCTTAAGGTCTGGGGTGCCTCAAACAGGGCCCTGAGGTCTGGGGTGCCTCAAACAGGTCCCTAAGGTCTGGGTACCTCAAACAGGGCCCTAAGGTCTGGGGTGCCTCAAACAGGGCCCTGAGGTCTGGGGTGCCTCAAACAGGTCCCTAAGGTCTGGGGTGCCTCAAACAGGGCCCTGAGGTCTGGGGTGCCTCAAACAGGTCCCTGAGGTCTGGGGTGCCTCAAACAGGTCCCTGAGGTCTGGGGTGCCTCAAACAGGTCCTTAAGGTCTGGGGTGCCTCAAACAGGGCCCTCAGGTCTGGGGTGCCTCAAACAGGGCCCTGAGGTCTGGGGTGCCTCAAACAGGTCCCTGAGGTCTGGGGTGCCTCAAACAGGGCCCTAAAGTCTGGGATGCCTCAAACAGGTCCTTAAGGTCTGGGATGCCTCAAACAGGGCCCTGAGGTCTGGGGTGCCTCAAACAGGGCCCTGAGGTCTGGGGTGCCTCAAACAGGTCCTTAAGGCCTGGGGTGCCTCAAACAGGGCCCTGAGGTCTGGGTACCTCAAACAGGGCCCTGAGGTCTGGGGTGCCTCAAACAGGTCCTTAAGGTCTGGGTGCTTCAAACAGGGTCCTGAGGTCTGGGGTGCCTCAAACAGGTCCTTAAGGTCTGGGGTGCCTCAAACAGGGCCCTGAGGTCTGGGGTGCCTCAAACAGGGCCCTAAGATCTGGGGTGCCCCGTGGAATGGGTTTCCTTTCTCCCATCTCTGTGTTTTTGGGTCTGGTGCGAGAGGATGTCGCTGCAGGAATGTGGGTGATTTGGGGTTGGTGGGTACCAGCACCCTGCTGCCCAAGATCCAGGATAGAACTGGACCCCCCCACGGGTCCAGGAAGCATCCCCAAGATTGTGAATGTCTCACGTGGATCCCTAAAATGGTGGGGTGCTTCAGAAGGGTTTCCAGGATCCCTGAGGTCTGGGCTGCCCCAGGAGGGTCCCAGAGATCTGGGGTGCCCCACATGGGTCCCTGAAATGCGGGGTGCCCCAGGGGGGTCACCAAGATGCAGGATGCCCTATGAGGGTTCCCTGAGCTCTGAGGTGACCCAGGAAGCGTCTTCAAGATGTGGGGTGCCCCACATGGCTCCCTGAAATGTGGGACAATCCAAGAGGGTCGCCAGGGTCCAGGCCTCTCCAAGAGGATCCCTGAGGTCTAGGGTGCCCCCAGGGGGGTCCCAGAGATCTGGGGTGCCTCACACGGGTCTCTGAAATGCAGGGTGCCCCCAGGAGGGTCACCAAAATGCAGGATGCCCTATGAGGGGTCCCTGAGGTCTGAGGTGACCCAGGAAGCGTCTTCAAGATGTGGGGTGCCCCACATGGTTGCCTGAAATGTGGGACAATCCAAGAGGGTCGCCAGGGTCCAGGCCTCTCCAAGAGGATCCCTGAGGTCTAGGGTGCCCCCAGGGGGGTCCCAGAGATCTGGGGTGCCTCACACGGGTCCCTGAAATGCGGGGTGCCCCCAGGAGGGTCACCAAGATGTGGGGCAGCCTAAGATGGTCCCCCAGATACAAGGTGCCCCACAAGGGGGTGCTTGAGGTGTGGGTGCCCCCATGAGAGTGTTTGGGGTGCCGCAGGAGGGTCCCAGAGATCTGTGGTGCATTAGGAGGGTCTCTGAAATATGGGATGCCCCACAAGGGTCACTGCAGTCTGGGGTGTCCCAGGAAGGCTTTTCAAAATGTGGGGTGTCCCGTATGGGTCCCTAAAATCTAGGGTGCCCCACATGGGTGTCTGAAATGTAGGGTATCCTGGGATGTCCCACAAGGATTCCGTGAAGTCCATGGTAGCCCAGGAAGGGTCCTTAAGATATGGGATGCCCCAGGAGGGTCATCAAGGCCCAGGGTTCCCCAGGAGGGTCCCTGAGGTCTGGAGGTGCCCCACAGGGGTCCCTGAAATGTGGGGTGTCCCAGGAGGGTCCCCGAAATGCGGGATGTCCCACAAATGTCTGTGCAGGCCATGGTACCC